CATTTTTTTTTTTATCCACTATAATTTCTACTTCCTTTAGATATCATTACACAAATAACCATGGCTGTCTCTTATGTTTATTCAGCTTGGTTGTTTTCCATAGTTTGTGCAGTGGAAAATCCTGTGACCCTTGAACTTGCCCATTTTAGCCGCAATCATTTTGAATTCATATCCTGTCTTCCTAAGTGCTGAGCGTTCTTGGTGCAACATCAGAACTAACATTCTCTTCCAGTTTCATTTGACAATTCACTCTCTAAACTCATTGTATTAAGGAGTTCTCTTTAGAACCAATAGGGTATGTATTTATATAAAAAGAGAGGTATTATAAGGAGTTGGCTTATGCCATTATGGAGGTTGACAAGTTCAAAATCTGCAGAGTGGGCCAATAGGCTGGAGACACAGGAGAGCCAGTAGCCCAGTCCTAGTCCCAGGCTGAGGAATTCTGCTGGAGAATTCCCTCTTGCCCAGTCTCCGTGTTCTAATCAGACATTTCAACTGATGGGATGCGGCCCACCCACATTGTGGGGGGCAATCTGCTTTCCTCAGAGTCCACTAATGTAAATGTTATGCTTATTCAAAAAACGCCCTCACAGAAATACCCAAAATCATGTCTGACCAAATATCTGGGCACCCTGTGCTCCAAGTTGCCACATAAAATTAACCATCACACCCAGTATTGCTGATTTTTGGTGTCTGGTGCAATGCCTAGATCTAATTTTATGTTTTCTGTATTAATAACCAGTTGGCCTGGTCCTTTTTACTGAAATAGTTCCTCCTTTCTGATCTTTAAGCCTCCTTCCTCATCAATCAGTTCTCCATGCAGGTGTAGGTCTTTTTCTGGGACCTGCCTTCACTTGCACTGGTCTCGTTACATGTAACTGTGTCTGGGCTGCACTGGTAGCCTGTCGGCCAAGCTTCCGGTTCCTTCTCTTCCTCCACGCATGCCTGGCCTATGACTGACCCTTTCCCTCCCATATGTATTGTAGGATTCGTTCAGGAAGTTCCTTGAAGAATTTGTTATGATTTTTATTGAAATGGCATTAAATCAGTAGATCAATTTGGGGAGATTTGACAGCTTTCCATCTAAGAACATGGGACATCTCTTCATTGATTTAGGTCTTTTTAAATGTTTTTTTAATAAAGATTTATAGTGTATTTCACAAGGGTTTCTACATCCTTTTACAGATGTGTTCTTGTGCACTTTATATTTTTAAGTAGTGTAACAGGTTACTTCTGGATTCTTACATATTGCTATAATTTATATACAGTGACCTCTCTGATTTCCTTTTTTTCGATGTAGAAGTGACATAACATTATACTAGTTTCAGGTGTGCAACATAATGATTTAATATTTGTGCACATTGCAAAGTGATCACCACAGTGAGTCTAGTTAACATTTGTCACCATATATAGCTGCAAAAATTTTTTTCTTATGATGAGGGTTTTTAAGAATTACTCTCTCAGCAACTTTCAAGTTTGCAACACAGTATTAGTCATAGTCACCATGCTGTACATTACATCCTTATGACTTAAAAAAGTATCTTATTAATTGTACTACTTTAGCTATAGATACTTCGGAGAGTTCTATATGGGCATTCGTATCTGAAAATAATGAGTTTCTTCCTTTTCAATCTTTATACTTTCTTTCTTGTCACTCACCAGGTCTTCCTAGATACAGTGCAGTATTAAATAAGAGTGGTAATACTGGGTATTCTTTTCTTATTCTTGATCTGAAAGAAAATGCTTTTAATAGTTCATCACTATGATATTTTCTGTAGATATTTAGTATATGTTCTTTATCAGGTTGAAGAAATTGCCTTTAATCCGCAGTTTGCCAAGTTTTTATACTAACTAGGTGTTGAACAATTTTCTTCATCAATTGAGATGATATGTTTTTCTCTTTTAATCTATCAGTGCTGCAAATTATATTATTTAACTTTTCAAATATTACATGAACCTTTGGAGAATATGTTTAGAGAGAAGAAGAGGGGGAGAGAGAGAGAAACATAGATCGGTTGCCTCCCATATGTGCCCTGACCAGGGATCAAAACTGCATCGTAGGTATGTGACCTGACCAGGAATTGAACCCGAAACCTTTTTGGTGTATGGGACAGTGCTTAACAACTGAGCAACCTGGCCAGGGTGACTTTGCTAGTCTTTAGAACCAACTTTTGGTTTAGTTGACCCTCTTGCTGGTACTTGTGTACAGCCCATTCTTCCTGCTTTTGCTCAGTGTTGGATTCTGCAGAACTGTGCATGTGTGCAAGCTCAGCAGTACTTTCCGTCCTTTTTTCAATCTAGCATTCACTCAGTGCTGGGAAAACCCATCTGAAAATACTTTGTTTTCACACACGATCCAAAAAACAATCTGATCTGTTACAGAGGTAACTTCTTTCCCAAGGATTTCAATGTTCTCAAGACCTCTTCCACTGAGAGTAAGTCACCATGCCCTCAGTAAATCAAAATGTTTTCTAGGGTTTCACTGAAACCGGTAGCAGGCCATTGATAAAAACCATGTGGGATTGTGGAAAAGTACAAAATTGGGTTTCAGAACCCTATTATATTCATGCCCCTGTTCTGCTCTCGTTTGCTCTATAACCTTCAGCAAGACACCTGCATTCTCTCAACTTCCTTCGTCTTTAAGCTGTCCTGCCAACCTAGGCCAAAATAAATAAATAACTAAATAAATCGTAATGGCATTGCTTTAAAATGACTTAAAAAAAATGGTGCGCTTTGTATAATTCAGGTATTGATCACATTATCGATTCCATTTTATGCTAGGATAATGGGCAACATTATGAAAGTTCTCAATATTGGCTCAAATTGGAATTGCCTGGGGGAATTTTTAAATATTACTGATCCTGGGTCCCAGCCCCAGAAATCCTGCTTTAATTTGTCTGGGTGGGACCCAGGAACCATTGTTTTTTAAAAGCTTCCCACGAGAATTTATGTTCAGCCAGAACTGCCAGTTACTGGTTTAAAATGATAAAATGTACTTTTAAAGGCACCTTCCCTAAAAGTGTCTATGATTGGTTTTTCTTTCGGCTCTTGATGAATTAGAGCAGGGGTCCTCAAACTACGGCCTCGGGCCACATGCAAATACAAATATTGTATTTGTTCCCGTTTTGTTTTTTTACTTCAAAATAAGATATGTGCAGTGTGCATAGGAATTTGTTCATAGTTTTTTTTTAAACTATAGTCCGGCCCTCCAACGGTCTGAGGGACAGTGATCTGGCCCCCTGTTTAAAAAGTTTGAGGACCCCTCAATTAGAGGAAGCATTATTTGTTAATGTTTTTAATTATTTGAGAGAGAAGCATCAATTGGCTGCCTCCTGAATCCCCACTACTGGGGATCAAGCCTGCAACCCCCGGCATGTGCCTGACGGGGAATCAAACCAGTGACCTCTCGGTGCACTGGACAGTGCCCAACCAACTGAGCCACAGCAGCGAGGGCTAGAGTAAGCCTTTTAATGAGATTATTCTTCATTTTGTCTCATCTCAGGTAACTGCTGGTGTCCCTCTTAAGAAAGAATACACAGAGGAGGTAAGAGTGACTGCTTTAAAAGGCCACAGTGGAGAATCATTCACACCCAGTTAACCACTGGCTTGCAGTTAAATGCAATTAGTGGATGAGTCCAGTGCTTTTCTAATAATCCTAGAAGAAAGGGTTGGGGGTAGGGATACAATCCATTCAAGTTAACTCTTCAGTCTTAAGAAATAATAGATATGGGCTTTATCTACTGCTCCTTACCCCCAGCTCACGGTCTCCAGCACAGAAACAAATACACAACTTATATCCATGTATTTCGGTGTGGGAAAAACTGACTCCTGGCTTTATGACTTGCCTGAGTTACTTGACTCTGTAGACTTTGGTTTACTGTCAACAGTACCTCTCCTCTCCTACAGGTGGCGCCAGGGGTTCGAGCAGAGGCTAGCTAGACAGCTCTCCTCACCCTCCTGGAGCCTTCTTCTTGTCCACACCAACCTGCAGGGGCGTGGGCACGTTGCTTATGTCCTGGCCACTGGTCAGCTGCAGAAATAGCTGCCTGACTCAAGACTCAAATATGCCATTGGACTCCGAATAATTTTAGAAATGGTTTTGAAAAGGAGCCACCTCCTCCTTCTTCATTCATCTCTCTTGGGGGGAAATGGGACCTGTATATAGCTCCTGCATAGCTTCTAGGTCCACAGAGTGAGCAAATATGGCAGCAAGCCCTGCCACGGCGGCCCTCCCAGCTGAGTGTGGCAGGTGTGGTGGGATGCGATGCATGGGGGTCTGGTTTTCTTGCAGAACATCCAGCTGGTGGCAGATGGCTGCTGTAACCTCCAGAAGCAAATTCAGATCGCTCAGCTCTTCGGGGTTCCCGTTGTCGTGGCTCTGAATGTCTTCAAGTAAGTCAGGCGTCCTCCTTTCAATGTGGTCGTAGCGCTTGGGCCACCCTGTGAACTAGATTTGTGTCTTAGGATGTTGGTCTTTCTCTGCTTCATCTGAAAGAATCCAGGAATACTCTCCTCTTTCTGTTTGTTTGGTTTGGTTTGATTGGTTTCATTACAGCAGAAGTGTTCTCAGATGTTACTAGGGAAATGAAATCTATATAGTGACTTACATTTCTTTGGCCTTTTTTTTTTTTTTTTTCATTCCACCCAGCATTTCTGTTTGAAAAACTGTGGATGATCAAAGGGATGTGTTATGGAATTTTCTCAATAAAACCCTTAACAACTTGAAATATTTGAATCATGTTGCAAGGGATTTTTTTCCCCCATGTCTTTCTTTAAGTCTGATTTATTTAAACATGATGTAACCACTTTTGATGTTTAAAATATATTCAGTGTTAGGGAACAAAGTTCTGTCTAAATGGTTAGTCTTTCTTTAAAAACATCGCTAAATGAATGCAGATGCAAAACCACAAACATTTTCATCACTAGGACTGACACCCGGGCTGAGATTGACTTGGTGTGTGAGCTCGCGAAGCGGGCCGGCGCCTTTGATGCGGTCCCCTGCTACCACTGGTCGATGGGTGGAAAGGGGTCGGTGGACCTGGCCTGGGCTGTGAGAGAAGCTGCAAGTAAAAGAAGTCGTTTCCAGTTCCTGTATGATGTTCAGGTAAGATCCCACAACAGTCATGATGGCTAATGTTTCTTATACTTGAACTGGTGCTGACAGCTTTGCATGGCTTGTCCCATTTGGTCCTCACAACAGCCCACAAGCAGAGAAGGAAGAGAAGGTGAAAGAGGGTAAGCCATCTGACAGGGCCATATTGCCAAGGGCAGGCCCGAGCTCCCTGCCCCAAAGCCTGTGCCCTTGATGGTTCTCTGCTTCCAAATAGTAGGCCTCAGTGAGGAGGGGCTTTGGAGAATTGGGTCCCACAGCTAACACTCTCAGGATTTGCACAGGAACAAGACTTTGGAGCGTCTCCATAAGGCTTGTCTAATCGTGGGTCAGATTTCCTTTGTTCATTTCTATTATAGCTCTTCTCCCTCGTTTTAGTTTTCTTGAGCTATGTTTAGTATATTTTTTTAAAAAATTTTAAATGATGGTAAAATACACACAACATAAAATGTGCCATCTTTATCATTTTTAGGTGTACAGTTCAGTGGTATTAAGTACATTTACATTAAACAATAGCTCCCCATTTCTTCCCTCCCCTCTGCCCCTGGCAACTACCATTTTACTTTCTGTCTCTATGAGTTTGACTTGTCAAACTCTAAGTAGCTCATGTAAGTGAGACTATGCGGTACTGTATTTGTCTTTTTGTGACTGGCTTATTCAGTTTTCAGTTCCTTTGGGCTGAATACCATAGACTGGGTAGCTTATAAACAATAGAAATGAATTTCCCACAGTTTTGGAGGCTGGGGAGTCCAAGATTGAGACAGATTCAGTGTCAGGTGAGGGTCTTCTCACTGCATCCTCACAGGGTTGAAGGGGTGAGGGAGCTCTGTAGGGTCTCTTTTATAAGGGCACTAATTCCATTCATGAGGGCTCCACCCTCATGACCTAATCACCCCCCAAAGCCCCCACCCCCCGATACCGTCACCTTAGGGATTAAACTTCAACACCTTCGGTGGACATAAATGTTCAGTCTATAGCAGTAACTTAACATAATGTCAAGATGCATCCATGTTATTGCATATGTCAGAATTTAATTCCTTTTTAAAACTGAAGGGTCATCTATTGTATGCATATACCACATTTTGTTTATCCATTCATCTGTGGGCGACCCAGGTTACTTCTACTACTTGGCTATTGTAAATTATACTGCTATGCACATGTGTGTAAAAATCCTTCTTCAAGACTCTGCTTGGAATTCTTTTGGATATATACCCAAAAGTGGAGTTGCTGGATCATCTGGTATATTTTTAAACATACCTGGATAATGAGCTTTCACTAAGAAAATCTGACTTCCAGAACCTCACTTTTCCTCAGTTTACCCCGGCACCCACCTAAACATCTCCATTCTGCCTTCTGTGGCTCCAGCCCTGGCTCCTAGCTTTGTCCTCAGAGGTAGCCCATGATTGCCAGAGTGGATAGCCTGCAGCTGACTGCTTCTCCATCCCTCACAGATTCTGTCGGTCTGTCTCTCAGATGTCACAGCAATAGCATCACCCCTCCTTCCTGTTCAGATGGCAGTGGCCAAAAGCTGAATAAAAAAAGGTGAATAGTAGCATTGCCTGGAAGTCTAGCGCTGTATCACCATGAGCGTGATGTTGACCTGAGGCGAAGGCTCCCTCTGAGGAAAGCTTGCGTGCCAGGCATAATGAGTACTTTGTACATTAACTTCGTTGCACCCGATGTTCCTGTTGGGGAGGAATTGTTGACATGCCCCCCAACCACCACCCCTCATTTTACAGGTAAAGAAACTAAAGCACAAACAGGTCAAGGAACCTGCCCAGGGTCCCACAGCCAGAAAGAGGCGAGCTGGGAGAGTATTCAGAATGATGGAGGCCATTGTCCTGCTCTGTTCTTCAGGATTCAGTACTGTGTTCACAGCTGGGGGTGGGGAGATACTGCCGAAAGGGGCAGTAACTGAGTGACCCGCCTGGAGAGGAGCATGACAGATGGGCCCAGAGTCCGGGCCAAGTGAGGGAGACGGTACAGGCTCAGGAGATGTTTGTGGAAAGAAGGATTTCAGGAATGTCCTGGGATGGTTAGCCCAGAACAGGTTTGTCATGTTGCAAAGCCATTGTATGAATGAGACTAAAATGTTCTGCGTTGCAGAGGTGGTAGAGGGTAAATAGGGGGAGGAGACTTGGGTTTTACATGAAGAAAAGTATTCTAATTGGAAGCTGTGGGTTCTCTGACCCTGGAGATGATAAGCACAGATAGAGTCAGCCCTGCAGTGGGCACGTCAGGCATGTAGCCAGTCAGATGGCGGCCGGCCCTGGTGATCTGTATTCCTCCCCGCACCCTGCTGCCCAGGTAAACCTTGCCGGGGTGTCAGTGCCGGGCACAGCCCTCAACCCTTTACACAAACTAGGAAAGTCACTTGCAGACCATCACTATCCCGTCTGAAGCACCCACCCCACTCTGAGCGGCCACGGCAGTTTTGGTTTTTAAATGAATGATTTCATAAGTGTGTCTCTTTTCAAGAAGACCATCCCAGGTGAAAAGGTCAGGGAATAGAGGCCTGTTCCTGAGTTATGCTGGCTCAGACATGCGCACTAACCCTAAGATGAACCCTTTTCCTTCCCACTAAATTTATTTTTCCTGAATTCCCATTCTTCACGGAGATAATGCTGTTAAAACGTCTGCTCTCCTGTGGAAAGGGAAAATTTATAATAATGTGGTCTGAAGTCCTGCATTTGATAGGTGGTCTCGAGGCCAGGATTCTTACCTCCTTTGCCAACATATGCTGCTCCCTTTTCTTATAAGAGAAATTAGATTTGAGCTGCATAATTGTTTATTTGATAATCAGCCTCCCGGCCTCTTGTTACATGACTGTTTGTGAAAAGAGTTAGTACTGCTCTGGTTCACTTCATTCATACTGCCTCCCTCAGAGCTGAGTTCCTGTCACTGGTAAGTGAGCCCATTTACAACCTTGTCTTGTAACAGCATAAAATCTGAATTTGTTGGTGCAGACGATAACCGAGCTCATACTCTTCTTCCCCTGATTTCTTGCATATTTAGTGCTGGTGAACCTTTGTAGACTAAGTAATGGTTTTCTTGAAACGCTTTCTGTTCCCTTTTGTCCCCCCACCCCTACCATGACTAATCATTAGGTGCTTGGCAGCTTGGTAGGTGTGGGATTGCTCTGCAGGAAGAAAGGCGATAAAATGCTTTTGGATGAATCACCCTGCTGCCCCTGCTTCTCAGTTCAGACTGGGCTTGTGTTGTGTGCCTTTTGGGACCTCCTCCAGCTCCATCACACTAGGAATGTATTCAGTACAGGATCCATGGCGTCTGATTTCGATGGCCCCACCCCTGCCCCAGGCCCGTGTTACAGAAGAAACACCTGAGATCACGTGGAGGAAGCTGAAATAGTGTGGGAGCACAGGGCATGATTGCTTGTGTGTGGGGAGTACAAATGGCTCGAAACCCCCATGGAAAGAGGAACAGTTAGAGAGAAAGAGAGACACCTGACCTCATAGACACTGTGAGGCTGGACAACAGCAGGGAGCCCGTAGTTAAAGCAAGAAACAAGCTACACTGCTGACTTGGGGGTCTATGCTAAACTTTACAGAAAATTGAGTTACGCAGCCACTCCTCGAGAACAATTCTGCACATTTTTAACCAAAGTATCTCCTAATTCAAGAGTAGGCAACTTTTGATTAGAGTACTGGAGGCAGCTGTTGATTCATAATAATTTTAAAAATTTGGAATAAAATGCAGTGACCTAATTGCTCATAGGAAACTTATCATGTAGGAATTAACATATTTAAATTTTAAATAGAGTGCGTCACATTCTCTCAATCATATTGTCACCAGAAAGGGATTAGGCCCGCGGCAGGTCTGCCTAGGGCCGGCCAGTAGTGTACGGATTCTTGATTTCATGCAAGAAAAGATTTGACAAAACAAGTCCAGGTGATTTTGAGAGCATATTTATTAAAGCTGGGAACAGTGAAACAAAGGAAGGGCTTGGGATAGAAGAGGCAACAGGAGAGAGCCTAGGCAGTGCTCTGCTTTAGCTCCCTAGAAACAGTTAGAGCACAGAAGTGAGCCACACCGGGCTGCGTGGACTCATTGGAAGTAAAAGTCACAGTGACGGAAGTGAGCCAAGGTGAGGCTGTTTTTAGCTCATTGAAAAGTCATAGAAAAGGGGCCTTTGAGACAGGTTTAGGGACTTAATGCAGGATAAGCTGCAGTAGCCACTGCCTGTTGCTCCCCTGGTTGCAAGTCTCACGGGGAGAATTTAGGAGAAAGAGCAAAATTACATGTGTTCCTAAGATGATGTAATGCGGGTCAGAACTTCATTGTCCTGAGGGCCCAACCCTTAAGGGAGTGGTCGTGCAGGGGCTTGTTATGGGTGTCATATGAGGCTATTCTTTCTGGCCCCTTGTTCCTCCTCTAAGGGGGTCTTATGACTAGGACAGTGATGGCGAACCTATGACACGCATGTCAGAGGTGACACGAGAACTCATTTTTTTGGTTGATTTTTCTTTGTTAAATGGCATTTAAATCTATAAAATAAATATCAAGGCCGAAACCGGTTTGGCTCAGTGGATAGAGCGTCGGCCTGCGGACTGAAGGATCCCGGGTTCGATTATGGTCAAGGGCATGTACCTGGGTTGCGGGCACATCCCCAGTGGGAGATGTGCAGGAGGCAGCTGATCGATGTTTCTCTCTCATCGATGTTTCTAAATCTCTATCTCTCTCCCTTCCTCTCTGTAAAAAATCAAGAAAATATATTTTTAAAAAATATATCAAAAATATAAGTCTTTGTTTTACTATGGTTGCAAATATCACGGCACCAGTGTTAAGTTAGGATTTTTCAAAATGCTGACACGCCGAGCTCAAAAGGTTCGCCATCACTGGACTAGGAATAGGCCAGGGGAAGAAAGGTCAGAGGAGGGTTTGAACCACACAACCAGCAATATGAAAGGTTAGGGGGGTGTAAACTGCATGACCAGCAATATGCTAGGGGAGGAAAGGTCACCCCCAGCGTGAGG